CACACATGTCCTAATGAAAGCGTTACCCAATTCCAATTTTTATTCTTGCTCGGGGACCTCATGGCTGCTTCTGTTTAAAAGAACTGGGGGGGGGGAAATGCATAAATCTTGGGAGTCTTTTTATAACCTCACTCACTGGGCAACTTTGAAATCTCTATTAGCCCTTCGTTCACTTGCCAGAGGCCAGGATGCTAGCTATAAGGTCAGCTCTAATCTTAGAACTGCAGAGCTAGAAAGGAAGCTAGAAATAGTTGAATCTAACCCTTGTCAAGGAGGCACGGTGGGGATTTGAACTTGCAACCTCTGGCTTCACGGTGACAGATGGGATCTCCACTCTTGCTCTGGAAGAAATGGCCCAGGACTTTGCTCCCTTCTGTTCTTCTCTTGGCACCACTGACCACTCTTTTCAAAAGACTGAAGCCCATGCTTGATGAATGGAGCAGAGAGGGCTGTAGCTTTTTTCTTGAGCGAGTGTGTGTTTGTGTGTGGGGGGAAGAGTTCCCCTTCTCTTCCCTTCCCTCCCCCATCATTACAGTGTTTTCAAGATGAATCCATTACAATGAACCCAGTAGTCAGCAGATTGAGCTCTATTATAACATGCAGGGAGGCTCCCTTCCTTCTTTGGTAACTATTGTCAATCAGTCCCCTTTGTACTTCTGCTGGTAGGTATCTCATGCAGCCTTTGAAAGAATCCATTGTAAGCTAGCATTAATTTTCCTCTTTGCTGTTAGGAAGTGCTACTGCCAAGGTAACAACAATGAAACTCTCAGCAGTTGAAATACGTGCAATTTTCATTACTTCTATGCGGAGCCGAGATTACATTTTGAGTCGGAAATAATACAAGGGTGGGGAGACACAGAAGAATTTATTTTGGAGGGGTGTCAAGCTTGCTTTATCACTTGGCGTGTGAAACGCTTGGGGTTTTTTTTTGCATAATCATCATCATCCACATCATTGTCATCATGTTATGTAGGCCAAGATGGGTGAACGTCGGGATTGTGGGATTTAGTTCGTTTTTATGAGATTAAATGAACAGAACAGGAAGCAAACAACATGTTTTAGGATTCTGAACCCAGAAAAATCATTGGACTACCAGAACTCAACTGATCGTGTAGCCTCACACAAAAATCCACTCCTCATTATCCACACCCTCTGTTTTCCTAATGTGAGCAACATAATTAGGAAATGAACTGTCATTTTGTAGCCAAACAATTGGGTGTAAGAAATCCTTATCGATCTGCTTCAGATTGTCAACCAGCAGTGCTCAGAGCACCTTCTGGAGATCCATGGTAGAGGCTAGGTCAGAGACAATAGCATTGTAGTTTTCAGGTTGACTTTTCTGATTCTTTAATGAGTTGCTTGGTAATGGTGGCTGAAATCCTAACTGAAAAAAGACCTGTTTTAGAACTACAGTTTCCAAAATCCACCAGCCAGTACTGCCACATGATAATGCCAAAAAGAAACTTTCTTCTAGCCATGAAAGAGATCCCTTAAAAGCTATCCCATCTGCTGGGATATCAGCAGATGGATCTAGAAGTGATCTGAGATTGGTTGTCAAGGGTTTCTGAATTCTGCGAGTTTTACAACAAAAGACCAAGTCAACGAAAAGCTTTGCCCATCAGTGAACTTCTACTAATTGCATCCATTAGCAGAAGTTGTGCTCATTGTGCTCCTTACCTAGGGTAAGAAGAACGATATCCCTTGTCGCCACCACCCTAAAGAAGACAAAAGATTTTGAGCATGCAAGATACGTGGTAATATACCGTATTTTTCGCACCAGAAGACGCACTTTTTCCCCAAAAAACAGGGGGGTGGAAAGTCTGTGCGTCTTATGGAGCGAAGAAAACAGATTATATTTTCCTGTTTTCTTCTCCTAAAAAATTGGTGCATCTTATGGAAAGGTGCGTCTTATGGAGCAAAAAAATGGTACGTAGCATTGAAGTGATGTCACACATAAGACAGAAAAGACTTGTTCTCCCTTGTTCTAATGGCAAATACTCATGTGTGCAAATGACAGAGGAATACATTCCAGATTAATGTCTGCTTGATTAAACTTCTGAACTGTTATATATTGGAAAGGTTTCTTCTGAAACTAGCAGGTCCTTTGCTGGACCTCTTTAGACAGATGCTGAACAGTCCAAGATGCTGTTGTGATGGCCTGCATTCCAGATCCTCCACTGGGTGTGGGATCAATTAGATTGCCTCCTAAAGGATGACCTCTTTCGAGACGCCCTTGAACGTCCCTGCCAGCTCTGCAATTCTAGGAATGTGCAGGCCACTCAGCTCTATTTATAGTTGCCAACTAGCCAGAATAAAATGTTGCCCTCCTGGAGAGGAGCCAGAAGAGGAGGACATCAAGCCAAAAAAGAACTGTCGGGTCAGATGGCTTGGCTGTTTTCCGCTTTTCTAGGAGGTGTTTGCAAGAGAACGAGGAAGAGGGGAAAAATAATGTGACCTTTCAAATGGGATTTTTCCAAAGACATTCAGTCCTTCTAATATTTTGGAAGGTACTGTTTAGAGCAGGGATCATCGGTGGCTTGTGGTCATAGAGGAGCATGGCCCTTTCTCCAATTTTATGGAGGTGCATCCCTATGTTCAGCACACAAAACACCCCTACCTAGAGTGGGGAATCTTTGGTCATCCAGACATGTCTGTCTTCCCTTCCAGGAAACTCTAAAGAACAAGATCAATTCATAGGCATCCTTCAGTCTCGAGAGCCTATGGTAACGTGCTCTGTATGGAGGACTTGGAACAGTGTCTATTTGATGCTATGCGAAGCTGGAGTGTCCTCTCCAGAGCATGAAGCCTGGGTAAAATAATATGGAGGATAGGCTGTTACCCAAGCAGCAAATCCCCCCTCTCCACATCAATGAAATAGTCCAATGGAAAGGCAAGAGCCAATACAACTGGTTCCAGCGATGTTGAAGTGTTGCCAGAATGACACAAGCTGCTTCCGGGACTCCAGCTCTGGGTTTTGCCTCGAGGTTGACTCCTGAAACCTTTCCCATCAGTGGGCATAGCCACAAGGCAGTGGAGATTTGGAATCGGAGTTTTCCTTCTCCTAGATGGGCTGCCTTCCAAGGCTGAAGATCAATTATAGCTTGGGATTTTAAGAGGAGCAGCTCCAAACAGGACACCCGGTGTGGTATAGTGGATAAAATGACAAATGAGGACTCTGGAGAACAGGGTTCGAAACCCCACTCAGCCCTGGAAATTCACGGGGGGAGCTGGGCTGGTAAAACCACTCCTTAAATATCTCACTTACCTTGAAAGCCCTGTTAGGGTCACTAAAAGTTGGTTCTGACTTGACGGCACAAAGCAACAACAAGCTGTAAACATCTGGCAGGCAACTTTTCCCCATCCCATCCCATTTAAGAAAAGAAAGCAATGCTCACAGGTTCCAAGGCACTTGGCCCTTTTAAGATGGATTATTTGGGGGTGGCTGGGCGCTTCCTGTCCTAAGGCGAAAACATCTGGTTGTTGTTCACTGGTAGAGCACATGCTTTGCTCCAAAAAAGTCCCGGTTGTTCCAGAGCATCACGAGGAAGGTGGTGGGGAGATGTCCCAAACCCAGGAGAACTGTTGTCACTCAGTAGAAAGCATGCTGATCTGAATAGGCCACTGGTCGGACTTGGGATAAGGCGGCGTCTTACGTTCCATAATATTTCTCCGACGCAAAGGCAGGGGCCTTTCAAAAACCCCAAAATATCTGAACCAGCATGGTAGTGGTGATAACAGCAGAGCTGATAAATATTACTTTATTGGATTTCAACACCCAGAGATCCCCCAGCTAGCATGGGGATGCTTGGAACTGTAGTCCCCAAAAAGATCACATTTCCCAGTTCTGTGTGATGTCAGGTGGGGAATAGAATAGCACTGACCGCATCTGGATTTAGCTCATTTAACTTCAGCGCAGTGCTTCCTCATCCCTTTAATGTCACTCTACCCCATCCAGCCTTGGCATGTGAATAAAAGCACGATGATATGGGAAAGTCCGATAAAAGCCTCTTTGCACAACTGATAGCAGAATGAGGTTTTGCCCTTTCCTTTCCTTTTGTAGCCACAACGGCTTTCAGCAGCTTCTCCTAAAGAAGCAAGTGGCTCTGTATGAAAGTGAGATGTTTCTTGTCCGTTGCCCTCTTTCACTCAGGACGGACAATGGCAGTTAAAGAGGCTGTTCCATGGGACTGAGTCCATCGCACCAACCACCTGTGGTGCATTTTTGCGAGCACCGAATGGCAGTAGCACACCCCTCGTTCATACAGAAATGCCAGTCACTTAGCTATTTTTCTGTATACAAAAAAAGATAAATAGTCCACCTTGCTAGATAACCCATTTGATATTAACCACTAAAGGTACAATTACCAAAGCAACAGCAACAACCCCAAAGTAGGTAAAATTATGGTGTGTTTCCATTTAATCCATGTTTTGCTTGGATTGTGGCATGACAGGGTGCAGAAAAAGACTTTGTAAGCACAGCCTCCCATAGCTTGTTGCAAAGCACACCTGGGGGGGGGGAGCCCCACTAGGTTTGAAAGGACTGGCTACTTGGTAAACCTGAAGCATTTAGCGGAAAGTAAGATGGTCTGCAACCAGAGGTGGGGAATGTGGGACCATCCAGATGTTGTCAGGCATCAACCCCCCATCAGCCAGCATAACTAGTGCTGACAGTAGGAGTTGCAGCCCATCATGTTGAGGTCCATGTATACCCTAAGCCGTCTTAAATTAAACATCAGTTGGAGGCTGAATTTCACATCTTACTCCACATGACTTCTGCATTAATTCCATATCATCAGCTGATTTGAGGATTGCCAAAGCAGCATGAAAGATTTTTAATGTCTCCTGTGTTCCTTATGTTTATATACATATATATTTCACCAATCTGTTTCATTTTGCATTAATTTTGTACTTCTATTACTTTTCATATGATTAGATCAATATTCTGAGAATCATCCTGGAGTAATAAGTCCTTTTTTTCTGTGGTCTTCTTATCTTTTCAGTTCCTTGCCCTTGTTTCTGTAGCTGTTGATCTGAGGTAAAGAAGAAGTAATTATGCCGAGTCTACCTAGAACACACATGAGAAAGATGAGATTTGAACTCAGGGTCTCCAGAATTGAAACCAACATCTTATGTCTTGTGCCACGCTGCCTCTCATGTTGAGGTAAGGGGTATTTTTCATAGCCATATGTGCATATGGTATTTTGTGCAATTGGACTCTCTCATTCGCTTTGACTTCTTAGCTTTTGTTGAAAAATATTAACACAACCAATGTATAGACCACAGCTTGGCAGGTCCCACCAACTAGTGGCCGATGGCATAATAGTTGTCAGATTCTGGGAGATACAACCTGAACGGAATTTACTTGGAAATATATATCTTTTTAATGCTGTTATCAATGTTCGTCTCTCAGAAATTGAAGACACTAACCATCCAAACCATCCAGACTCTAAGCTTTGAAAACAGCAGTCCAGGAAGTAGAGTTTAGAAACTGGAAAAGTTACTCCAAGCTCTGGACAAGTCCTTTTCCAAGCTATGAGACAGTCTATGTCCACTTGTTATGCAATTCCCACTTCAGAGACCCTTGGAATAAGAAGGCTATCTGTTGATATCCCAGAATCTGTATTTTAGGTCAGAACTCGAGAGAAAAGATGAAGTAGGAACTATTCTGCTCAGATTTTAATTGAAACTAAAGATGGGTGGTCACAATTTGCTTCTACTTTGAGGTGAGCATGACTGGGCCCCAAGACTTGTTTCTGAACCTTGCAAACCTCATTGCTGTCTTCTTGATTCTTCTACTCCTTGACTCAGATGAGATAGGAACCTCTAGATGCTGTTGGACTTCAGATCCTGGTCAAAATTGGCTATGCTGGTTAAAGATTATCGAATTTGTCAACATCTGTAGGGCCACACTTTGCCCTGTCCTTCCTTAGACTTATGTTTTTGCTTTTCCCAAGGCACATCACTCTGATCATATGGTTGCTTCATCTTACCCCATTCTTAGAGCTGTGAAAAGATCAAAGATAGAGAATTTGCCGAGCTGGTAAGATTTTAATAGGATTTTCAATGTACGGGCATCAGGAAGCATGTTGCTATCACCTTTCTTTGATGTGTTGAGAAAATGGTAAGCAGTTCTCCCCAGGAGATTCTTCCTTTGTCCCAAAATGAATGACAACTTTCAAGGAGAGTAGAGGGGTTTTTTTTTGTTCTTTTTCTTTTGCCCTCAGTGGAACAAAGGGATTCCATTAACAGATGCAATATCTCATGGTACTTGTAATAGATCACTGGTTTATTGCAGACTATTCTTAGAAGATTTGACAACTCATTTGCATTGATGCCTTGTTATCTTAAAAAACTTGAATTAATTTGTCTAAGCAATTTTTGGACAAAAGTAATGATTGCCTTTAATGAGCAAAACTTCTAAGTGACAAAAGGGGAGGGGGTGGGCAATTCTAAATGGAAATGTGACGAGTATTTATTATACCGGGTTCTGCACCTTTTTTTCCCTACATATCAAGCGTCTACAAAGGGATATCAAAGGGAAAAATTAAGGGATTAAAAGCTAGCCATAGCTGTCCCAAAATGTTTAAGACTAACATGTATGTCCATAGACATAGGCAGTGGATATGGTGGTATTTGTTATAACATAAACACGTAGGAAATAATGAGGCAGAATGCACTGGTGGATCTCCATCTCCACTGTGACCTTCATGCACCTGAAAACCAACTCAGGAGGAGCTTTAAAAAAAAGGCCCACCAGAACTAGTTTTCAGGCTGTCCTCAGAACTGGTATGTAAACTGGTATGGACAGGCAAAGTTCCATTGTGATCATTCTTGTGATGTTATATCTAGCCCAACATTATTAGGTTGCATGCACTGCATTTAATTAAGAAAGAACAGGAGAGGGGAGGGGAGAGGAGAGGAGAGGCATCAGTCTTACACTGTCAGAGAACTGGCCCATCTAGAAAGTGAGGAGGAATTAAGGAACCTTGTAATGAGGGTGAAAGAGGAGAGTGCAAAGAATGGTCTGAAGCTCAACATCAAAAAAAACTAAGATCATGGCCAGTGGTCCCATCACCTCCTGGCAAATAGAAGGGGAAGAGATGGAGGCAGTGACAGATTTCACTTTCTTGGGTCCATGATCACTGCAGATGGAGACAGCAGCCATGAAATTAAAAGACACCTGCTTCTTGGGAGGAAAGCTATGACAAACCTAGACAGCATCTTAAAAAGCAGAGACATCACCTTGCCAACAAAAGTCCGCATAGTCAAAGCTATGGTTTTTCCTGTAGTGACGTATGGAAGTGAGAGCTGGACCATAAAGAAAGCTGACCGCCGAAGAATTGATGCTTTTGAATTCTGGTGCTGGAGGAGGCTCTTAAGAGTCCCCTGGACTGCAAAGAGAACAAACTTATCTATTCTAAAGGAAATCAACCCTGAGTGCTCACAGGAAGGACAGATCCTGAAGCTGAGGCTCCAATACTTTGGCCATCTCATGAGAAGAGAAGACTCCCTGGAAAAGACCCTGATGTTAGGAAAGTGTGAGGGCAAGAGGAGAAGGGGACGACAGAGGATGAGATGGATGGACAGTGTCATCAAAGCAACCAACATGAATTTGACCCAACTCTGGGAGGCAGTGGCAGACAGGAGGCCCTGGCGTGCTCTGGTCCATGGGGTCACGAAGAATCAGACACGACTAAACAACTGAACAACAACAAAAACTGGCATTGTCAACCCTGACTGACAGCAGCTCTCCAGAGTTTCAAGAATAATTGTTTCGTTCACCTATTTGGAAATCCTTTAGATTAGAGAAGGTCCATGTGTTCTGGGTAGTTTGTTAGCATATTCCACTGGGACATGGATAATGAGTGTCAGAAGCTGCTCCAGCTGTGGAGAAGCCATGGGCCTGATGTCCTCTGCCAAGCCCCTCATCATCTTCTCCTCCATCTGCTGCTTCTCTGTTACATCTACTTTTAGAAGATGGTGGCAACTGCTCCCTCATCCACGTGTCTGAAGGAATCAACACGATACGCAGCAGCAGGCCAGAGTGACAATGGCCCCTCTGAGGAAGTAGGGGCCACAGCTGGTGTCCAGAGATGCCAACCTTTGATTCCAACTTTGTCACCAGAGCCTTCTATGTAAACATTCTTTCAGCTCAAGAAGCAAATAATGTACAAAATGCACGGATGGCGCAACCTTCCCATGAGTCCTATTAACAAAGAACAGCTTAGAAAATATATATTTTTGCAATGTACCAGGATGCTAGGTCAGTGGAAAGGGCAAAAGAAAGCAGAGAAACATGTAATAAACATAGAGACCACCAATCTTCCTTCTTAAAAAATTTGCAATGTAAATCCCGTCAATCTTGAGCTGACATACTGACTTATTTTACAGACAGATACTCTGCAGTGGTTGTTTCATTGTCTGAAGAAAATGGATGCTGTGAACTGAATGTTAATAATGATCAGATTTCCTGTCAATTTAATTAGCAGTTTATAAGATCCATGTTCGGATTATTACATGGACATTTAATTTTTAATCATTTCTCCAAGGGTGCAACGAGATGAGATAGTGGGAGGGTTGGGATGGAAATCTCCTACATTTTTGAAACAGAGGTGGGTAAGGAATGAAATTCATGCTGCTGCTGATGTACCTTCCCGAGCCCTTCAGGTAGGCTGCCTGGGGCTGTGGGAAAGACAGTACATCGATATCAAAAGGTTTGCCAAGCCTGATTCAAAGGGTTGATCCTAAGCATATGTAAGTGCCACTGCCTTAATTCTGTTTCCAGTTAAATTTGTCAAGGTAGTAAATTCAAGGGCTGGGAACCCTGATTTAGATTGAGACCATGGCACTGGAGGGGAAACTTATTAACCCCTTCATTCCATGGCATTTTCCAATCCAATTTGCTCTTTGGAATTGTGATTTGATGCATGAGTAAAGATGCTACTCCCAAAGGCAACTTGGATTGGGAACATTGTATAAGGCAAAACACTGCTTTCCCCAGAAACGTACTCCATTCACAGTCTTTCGCCTCCTCTTATTATGAAGGGGAAGGCATTCCTGATTATTTTGCCATCATACTTAGTCTGGCGATCCATCTACAATCATCTGCCGTTTTTGCTTATGGCTCCGTCTGTTGTACTTTTCTTATTTAATTCAATAAATAATTTATTTCGAGGCCTCATGTAATGTAGTCCAATACATCTCAAAGTATTTTTTTTAAAAAAACTCATTTAATGAAAGACCATACAAATGAAAAATAGCTGACAAAATCTATACAGAACGGTTAGAGCACAGAGTGAATACAGAATCCAAAGACGTATCATAAAAGTCTTTCGGCTAACATTGGGCTCAGCACCAGGTGAAACACTTTGGCGACAGCATTTCATAGCTGGGACGCTCTGCTAGAGAAGACTCTTTGTGCAATTAAAATCAAATAACAGCTGCTTTTTAAAAACACCTGATTTTTTGAAAAAACAAGTTTGCAGAAAGAATTATCTGGTATAAAATGTAAAGGTAAAGGTTCCCCTTGACATTTTTAGTCCACTTGTGTCCGACTCTAGGGGGCGGTGCTCATCCCATTTTTCAAGCCATAGAGCCAGCGCTTGTCCGAAGACAGTTTCTGTGGTCACGTGGTATACATTTGATAAATCAGCTTTATAATTTCTCTGTTTCGACTCTGTGCCTTTCCAATGTGTTGTGCTACTGGTCTCATCCTCCTCTGTGACCTTGACTAGGCCATATGAAGATGATGAGAGGACTGTTCTACTTAACTGACAGGTTCTTTTAGGTCTTCAGTGATGTTGTCTTTTTTTTTCTTTATGTAGCTCAACCATGGCTGGAGATTCTAGAATCTTCATGAACCAGGACATGGAAATAGGGGTCACTCCAAGAGAGCATAAGAAGATTCCCAAACAAGCTCGAGATGATGTTCCAATTGCCACTGACAGAACTCGTCTCTTGGCAGCGGAAATTAAGAAGCCACGCCAGCGCTACATGGAAAAAAGTGGCAAGTGCAATGTGCACCACGGAAATGTCCAGGAAACCTACCGATATCTCAGTGACCTCTTTACCACTTTGGTGGACCTCAAGTGGCGCTTCAACCTTCTTGTGTTCACCATGGTCTACACCATCACTTGGTTGTTTTTTGGCTTCATTTGGTGGCTCATTGCCTACATTCGGGGAGACCTAGACCATGCAGAAGATGAAGATTGGATCCCTTGTGTTGACAATCTCAGTGGATTTGTCTCAGCATTTTTGTTCTCCATCGAGACGGAGACGACCATTGGGTACGGCCATCGAGTGATTACCGAAAAATGTCCTGAAGGTATCATCTTGCTTTTGGTTCAGGCCATCTTGGGCTCTATCGTCAATGCGTTCATGGTGGGGTGCATGTTTGTGAAGATCAGCCAACCAAAAAAGAGGGCAGAGACCCTCATGTTTTCCAACAACGCTGTGATTTCAATGAGGGACGAGAAACTCTGCCTCATGTTCCGAGTTGGGGACCTGAGGAATTCCCACATTGTGGAGGCTTCCATCCGAGCCAAGCTGATTAAATCCAAACAGACCAAAGAGGGGGAATTCATCCCCTTGAACCAAACAGACATCAATGTGGGATTTGACACAGGAGATGACAGGCTGTTCCTGGTGTCGCCCCTCATTATTTCGCACGAAATCAACGAGAAGAGCCCGTTTTGGGAAATGTCCCGTGCCCAGCTGGAGAAGGAGGAGTTCGAAATTGTGGTCATTTTGGAAGGGATGGTGGAAGCAACTGGTAAGACCCAACCACAATATTGATATTGGTTTTGTTGTTGTTAAGGCTGACCAAGTCAAGAAAGGTAGAAAGTGGATTTATGCATCTTCCTAGAGTGCAGAAACCTAATTCTTCTAAGTAATGGATTTTCATTCTTGTAAACTATTTTAGTTCAATGATCCCAAGTCTTTCCTTGATGTCATCCACCCAACCCACAAGATCATCCCAATTAAGGCTTCTCTGGGTGGCCACCACGAGGGAAGCCCATAAATCCGCTACAAGAGATAGGGCCTTCTTTGTGGTGGCTCCAACTTTATGGAACCAGCTTCCGGAGGAGCTCTGCTTAGTCCCCTCCCTGTTGACATTGAAGAAGCAATTAAGGAGTTGCTTTACAGGGAGGCTTTCTACACCAATCCCAGCTAACCACCTTTCCCTCTTCCCCCTCTTCTCCCTCCCCCTTTCCATCCATCCACTCTAGATTTATATGATTAATAGGTCCCATCTCTTTTCAGGTTTATTGTTGTTTTTATCTTTATTTTCTATTATATAAGTTGTAATGCCCCAGAATAGTGCCTTGACACTAATGGGAGTGGGATACAAACTGAATAAACAAAATAATAAATAAATAAAATATTTCTTCCTCTGAGTAGCAGCAGTGCTTCACCTCTGGCGAAGGCATCTATTTTTCTTTCCCTGTCGCCTGCTGCTGGACCATTTAAGGGGAAAGGCAAGGGATGATACTTGGCTATGTGTTTTAACACTTTCCTCTAGGCCTTCTGTCCACTAGAGATTTGTGATTCATATAAATATAGGAGATGCTGGTTGATCGTTCGCGGTTGTTTTTAATATTGCTCTCTGGTGTCACCAGACTAAGATTTTAGGGTAAAGGTTGAGGGTCCTGTTCAGCAGAATGAGCAGCACAGCAGGTACTTTCCACATTTTGGACTGAAGTAATGCACATGAACATTTCCATAAGAACTCTGTCGATTCTCAGGATAGTTTAACCCAGAGGCCAGGATCCTGCCCAGTCAAGGCTTGGGCTTGTTCACTCATTCATCCGTTCATTTGCTCTGTCAAAACACTCGCACAAAGGATTGCAGTATAAACTGTTGGATATTGATGCTGCTAGCGTAAGATGGCATCCAGAACCTTCTTGCATAAGGAGATGTCAGGTGGTCTTAATGGGAAGGAAATCTTTAACTAGGGTGGTGCCAAAATTTAGAGGGTGCCAAATTCAGACATGATAGAAGACTGTGGAAAACAAGTGTCAGCATCTTCCAGCACCATTCATTTTCAATGACCTCTCTGCAACTTACTTATTTACTTACTTTATTTATTTATGTTAGCCCACCTTTCCCTCTGAAAAGGAAGTGGTTTACAACAATTAAAAGACAGTATTTAAGATTAGTAACAATAAAGTGTAAAGGTAAAGGTTCCCCTTGACAATTTGTCCAGTCGTGTCTGACTCTGGGGGGGCAGTGCTCATCTCCGTTTCCAACCCATAGAGCTAGCGTTTGTCTGAAGACAATCTTCCATAGTCATAAGGCTAGCGCGACTAGACACGGAACGCCGTTTACATTCCCCACCGAGGTGGTACCTATTTATCTACTCGCATGTTGCATTTTGCATGATTTCGAACTGCTTGGTTGGCAGGAGCTGGGACAAGCGATGGGAGCTCACTCCGTCGTGTGGATTCGATCGTACAACTGCAGGTCTTCTGACCTTGCATCGCAGAGGCTTCTGCAGTTTAACCCACAGTGCCACCACATCCCCCAATGCCACCACATCCCTCAGTGCCACTTGGGACACACACACACCCTACATCCTACATCCAAGAAAAGATAGCAGCAGCATTTTATGAGGCAGCTCCATCCACCAAGAAAAGGGACAACATAGAAGAGTGGGCAATAGGCAAAACGGCTTACTCTGAGTGCCAAAATGGCTACTTAGAGCTCACTCAGGGAAGCCTCTCTTGCAGGAAAGCCAGTTTCACACAACTAGTTCAAGCCTGTTACTCTGCTGATAGGGCTGTCTGCTCAGTGGGATCCTGACCCAGATCTAAAGTTACCCAGTTACACCACTGGTAGTAGCGAAAAGCAAGTCACTTTAATATTTTAGCATTGTTCTCTCCGTGTGGTGCTCAATACAGTACTTTAATGAGTCTATATTGATTATGGTTTTCCAAGGCATTTCATCATCTTCTGCAGCAAAGGCAACAACTTCTTTTGAGTATGAATTTGCTGGAAGGGCCCCCCTACCCCACTTAGCAGGGAACACAAAGCTTCCTGTGCTTATTAAATCCCAGCGGGGGAATTCAGGGCTGGCTGGGAGATGTTCATCCAGCTGGGAAGCAAAGAGGTGCACCTGCGCCAAGATTGATGTTGGACTTCGTTCAGGAGAAAGGATGGGCCACCTATGCACACAAACACATGTGTACACAAATCACACATATATGGATCCCTTTATATATATAATGCCTCTGCATAGTATGAAAAAAAATCATGGAATTTATTTGGGAAAGGCAAATGTTCAGGACATGATGCTTTGCTCATAACAGATGCCAGCATGTCTGCAGAGAGCATTTCAAGTCACATATCAAAGGGATGGAATATTTGATAAGAGATGTTTCTGCTCACCCCATGGCTGATTCCTTTGTAGAGTGGCTGCTGATAGGTAGGGATGGAGACGTGAGTCACAGGATTCGCTGTCAAGTCATAATTCCTTGAACAGGATTATAAGACCTCTCAATGGAGTAAGGAAATCTTTGATTCAATGGGACTTGTGCACCTACTGAATCTGCCATGCAAATGTTGCACACTGAGGTTGAGCAACTTCAGGGTCCTTGATCTTCCCCCGTATGGTTGATGATCCTTAAGTCAGATTTAAACAAGGTGGCCCTTTCAGGGAGACCACCATCAATGAGAGATTTCTTCTCTGGAACCCCTTCCAATAGAGAAATGTCTTCCCTTTAAAAAAAGGACTGGAGGCCACTGTGCACATGTCACAGCCAGGAACGTGTATCACGGGCTTGTAAAGGGAGCAAGCTCCTACTCCTCCTTTCTGTGTATTATCCAGGTCATGCATATAAAAACAGCCTGACACACCACCAAATATCAGGGCATTCAGTTGAGCTCTGCATCTCTTGGGAGAGGCTGTTGTGAAATTTTTAGGTAAATGAGCGACTAACAAAACACAGATAAACCCATCCGCTTACTTTGTTTTGATGAGCGCTATGCATGGCGGGCCCAAGGGAGCACTTTGCTGTTCTGCTTAAGGAGAGCTGCTCGGGGCGTGTCAGAGGGTTGAGCTGCCCAACAAAGAAGGAGAATATGCTTCCTGCAGATTAGGGGCAGTGAGTGTGAACTATAAATGCCTGACAGAAGCTGTGTTCAGGCAGGCAGTAAGCCTTCAGGTGGGACCACACTCAGGGCTTGGCATCATTGGCCCTCACCCTAGTCAGAAAGGCCACTGTCTGTCCACAGAGCCACCTGGCTTATGACTGTTCCTCTTTATCACTCTTACATATTTTAGGTATGTATTTCTCATTGCATTTGCATTACACCTAGATCTAGAGATCTGAGGGCAGGGAAAGACAATAAAACAATGTTCTTCTCCTCTTCCATGATTAATACTATGATAATATTGTGAACTACAATCTGAGGGCAGGGAAAGACAATAAAACAACCTTCTCCTCCTCCTCCTCCATGATTAATACCATGATAATATTGTCATTTAGCATCATTGTAAATGGTATAAATTATAAACAATGTCCATCAATTCAACAAGCCTTGTCCAAAAAAAACAACAACACAGCATCTCAGATTGAAGCTAACATCCTTGGACCCAAGAAGCTTTGGTGAAAAGCCATGTTCTGACTGAGCGTTGAAATGGAACCAGCATCAGCACTAATCAGACCTCTCGAGGGAGGACATTCCACAGATTGGGAGCCACCACAGAGAAGGCCCTCTTCTACTTTTCCACATTATGCATTGGTGATGTTGGTGGGACACAGACAGGGGCCTCCTCAAGAGACCCCAGTGCTCAGGCAGGTGTTGTGTCGCATGTCATCTCTGAGTGAACAGGAAGAGAAGCACAGGCGAGAGAGAAGAAATCTGTGCTACTTTTCTAGCCAAACCCCCAGCTCTTCAGCTCAATTTAGGCGTTTCAAAAATAATTAACCTGAAAGTGTAAGCAGTGAGACAATTCTAGTTCCACCACCTGCCTGCTTGCGGCTGTCTGCATGTACAGATGGCATGTCTAAAGAAGGAAACATCTACTACACATAGGCCAAAGTCCTGTTGGACAGATACATTTGCATAACTCAATGTTACACAAGTGGCGGCTCTAATCAAGACCCACTGGAAGTGCTGGGCATGAAGCACTCCTGCAGGCACATCACATAGCTGGCCACTCTGGGACCCAGAGAACTGGTTTCACAACTGTCTTGTTGTCTGCGCACAAGACTTGGCATGTTTCTGACTGTGTCCCTTTATGAAGAGGATTCCAGCCACTGAATCCTTCCAGACAACTGGGGATTCTCACCAAAACTGGTCAACCAGCATGACATCTGTCACATTCCCACCTGTCCCTTGGTGGTTTCACCAATCACAGGGCACAAGCTATGTGTCATTTCGCTGCCACCAGTTGATTATGTCAACATTGTTTATTATTAACCACAGAGGTCCAGGCAATGTGTCATCTTCAAAACAACCAAATAGAAATTGTTTATTATTACGGATGATGAAAGTACAATCGGTGTCATTAACTCTTAATAGAACATCCTACTTCATTCACTCTCAACTGCCAACCCTCTCTTTCTCTCAATTCCAAACTCCAACTCTCAGTTTCTCCAATCTCCAATCTAATTCTCTCCTCCCCCTGCAGAGACTCTCCTATCTCGTGACTCCGCCTCTCCAGCACTCCCATTGGTCCATGCAGACAGCACATCAATATTCATGACCTGGGTGGATGCCACAACACCTTTACCTGCTAAAATGCCCCCAGGAATGCAGGGCCTTTAT